CTTCCGATCTTGGTATCTGTCTGGGTTTGGAATTTAGTGAAAGCCGCTTGGCTGCTCAGGTCGTCTGCTCAAGGATCAATCGGCTGGATCAGGCGGTCAGTTTGGTCACTTTAACTTAAACGCGCACTGACTCTAAAAAGCTGGCTGATTTCTGACGGATGTCAGAGCGATTGAATGGACTTAGGATTTGAATGACGAGTTCGGGAATATCTCGGCTTATATATGGAAACTCATGGGATGTGGGAGGTGGCAATTTGAGGAAAAAATGAATTTGGTTGGGAGATTCGATTTGGGATTACTCCGCCCGTTTTACAGTTATCAATTCTTAAAGCTACTCATTGATGAACCACCTCAGATGCGTTCCCGAATTTTTAGGTTTCGCACCTTGTTATTGGTGGGTCCCTGATATGATTTTTATTTGGTAGATTTTCTATTGGTAGTCATATCTATCGGGCCAAATTCGTTTGATCCGACCGCGGCAAAATCAATGTTTATTACGAACGTGAGATCTTGAATTTTTCTGTTGGACTATCTTGTCGTTTGATAGAATTTTATGACTCGACATGTGTGGGCTGTTTATTATTTCATTCTATGGAATTTGGAGTTTCCTTTCGGTTTTGTCATGAATTTAGGCCAAACATAATTTATCTGTTAACCTTTTTTTTAAAAGATACGTGCCGAACTTAGGTTTTTGTCGCGAGTAGATTGTGTAATTTGAGATACAACTTATCTGTTTTTTTGGTAATAAAGATTCCTCACGTTCGGTTACATACTGTTTGCTTAAAGTGAATTCTTCCCAAGGAAACCGACAACGGTCAATTTCATTTGGTCGAGGTATTTTGTTGATTGAGCCGTTATTATATTTAAGAATTTATCTTATCGCGTGTTCACAAAATGAAGAAATCGTGGAGTTCACCGGACGTAACACTGTCAAAATACGGTTTTAAGGGCTGAACTCGTCATGTGTAAAGTAGTTATCACTTTTTTTCGTTATATCTTAAAAACTATTTAATATATCAAAAAATGTTAAATTTTACAATAAAATTATCTTTATTTATCCACATCACTAATATTTTTGAAAAAAAATAATTAAAGAAAAATTTTGCAAATTTTTAAAAATAATTATTTTTCAAAAATATTATTGATTTGAATAAATCGTAGTAATTTTATTGTAAAATTTTTGTATAAAACATTTTTTTGTATCTTGAATAATTTCTAAGATATAACAAATCAATATTTTAATATTGAAATAATTTCTTATACACATAAGTAAAATATAGTGTTATTCGAAATTTGTGTCCAAAGAAAAAAAAGATTTAATAATATAATAATCAAATTAAATTTAGGAAACAAGAAGAAAGCTGAAAACCGTTTTATATATGAGAGATGATTTTACTCCTTTGCGAGAGAGAGAGAGAGATGGAGGAAGGGAAGGAAAAAGAGAGACGAAAACTTGTAAAAATATGTATGTATATTAAATTTTATCAATATTACGGATAGACAATAGACAAGAATTCAGTGACAACTGTGTTCGACTTATAATTAGACTCTTACACGCTTTAAACGCTTATAAACATTATTCACGTCGTGCACTTTTGTGATGAAATAATAGCAATTTTTAGTACTTGTTTTGAAACTAATTATTTTTTTCTTGCTGCACGGCGAAGATAAATAGTTTCGTAATATTGGAAATACTTCATGGGCTCGAGTTCACTAACACGTCAAGTTCGTCCGCTATGATTTTCCAAATCATCACAATTGCCAAGAACATATTTTTTAAGGATTTTAACTTCATTTTTCTCGAAAATATAACGTGATAGATAAATTCTGAAAAAAAAACGATGTTTTCAGCTCCCAAAAATCTATGAGAAACCATTCTGCTTTTTCAGGAAATTTTTAGCATGTCGATCAGTGTAATTATTAATATTTATTTTTGTTTATGTCTTATTTCATTCGTAAAACGGAGAAATCCACCGAAAATAACAGGATGCTAAATAAATATTATTTTATTGCGAATTGTAATAGACTATAAAAAAATTAACTTTTTGTATCTGATAAAGAGCTCAAAATTGACATAAAAGCGAAATCTTATGGAATTCTTAAAAAACGTTTATGGTCGTAAATGATACGAAAGATGAGAGAATACTTTTTATAATTCGAGGATTAAGAATTACATTTGGAGTTTCTGTGCTGTGCTCGGTTATTAGTTTATTCTTTTTAAAAATAACGAATAGAACATTGTTATATATTATTGTTCTTCTAACAAATTTACGTGTATCACAACGTTTGCAATATTATATCGGATAAAATAATTCAGACTTATTGAAATCTAACGAGTGCAGATAGCATAATTTACAAAATATGGCTGAAAGAGAGAGAGAGAGAGAGAGAGAGAGAGAGAGACAAAAACTTGTAAAAATATGTGCGTGTGTTAAATTTTATTTCAATATTACACATAGACAATAAACAGGAAATACATACAGCTGTGCTCGACTTACAATTAAACTCTTACACACTTTAAACGCTTACGTCGGGTGCTTTTGTGATAAAAACGTTCACAGGTTGCGCAATGATATAATTGCACATTTCTGCGAGCGTTTATAACGCGTAAGCGTTTAAATTGAACGCAACCATATGGTGACTTGTACGCTCTTGCATCTTATTATAAAAGCTTCACGTACGTTATAAAAAAAGCCAGTATTCAGTTAATCCTTACAATCGATAATTCGGCGGATTTTTTCGATTTGTGTTTGATGACAGATGCCACTTCATAAAACGCAGAACATTATAATCTAACTTCCGAAGAAGACGAATTAGTTTTTATCACAAATATACGTATGTGTGTTTCTATTCTAGTTTTTTAGAGTTTCTAATTAATTAAAAATATTTTAATAGAATCGCAATTATTCATTGTGGTTTTAAGTTATTGAATAGAATAGAATAGCAATAGAATAGCATAGAATAAAATAGCAATTATAATTAGAATTTAATTATGACACTACACAGTTATATATAGGTATAATCGCACAAATGCTATTTTAATGTGTTATGCAATTACAGAATTACTATTATTAAAATAATATATAATCTTTCAAATTATTGCATATAATACGTCTGGATAAATTAATTTGAATATTATATTTTTAACTTTCGATGAGATATCCTATTAATTAATATTTATAGATACATGTACTGTCAACCTAATTGCATTACGTTTTCAGATCACTAACAATATGGTCTTGTATCATATTTTTGATAATTATCTACTAATTGTTATTATTAGTTTAAACACAATTTTGATCGCAGCTTTGACTTCTGAGGTGAAATTAGTTAACGTGGTAAGTACATTTATCTACAATTAAATATTGATAAAATTTAACATACGCACATATTCTCACAAGTTTTTGTGTTTCTCTCTCTCTCCTCCCCTCTCTCTATTTTGTAAATTATGCTATCTGCGATCGTTGCATTTTAATAATTCTTCTTATTTACATTTTTTTCAGATATTCAGACATGGCGATCGAACACCTGATTCAACCTACGAAATGTTTCCAAATGATCCATATTTAAATTATACCTTCTATCCGACAGGCTTTGGGCAATTGACTAAAGTAAGTATAACATAATATCATCCAAAATATAAATTGTCTGGTTTCTATGAAAAAATATAACAATAAATATGCTTTAAAATAACTTCTAATGAGATTAAGTTGTAAAGAAGAGCGTTACGAAAAGGCCGATTTTTAAGTTGTGAAGAATGGCACGTTACGAAAGGCCGAACTTCGCTTGCGAAAAGTAAAATTGACATCGTTTCTTATAGTTTTTGAAACGAGGAATCCAATGGTGCTAGTTAAAATTACGTTACATGTCAAGAAACACATCAAAAAATGAGTTTAAAGTCGGAGGAATGCGTGGTTTATTCGGAAGACGTACAGCAATTCACCGGGTGGCGAAAGTCGCGACTCGAACATATATTCGTGCAGGCACACGGAATCGACTTTCCGTTGCGCCTGATGTTTTCGTTATTAAATATAGCATTTTTCTAACAAATTCTTTATTTGAAATAACAAAACATAATGTACACACTGCATATCGATACATGTAGCGTAACGACTTGTCTCGCGAATGACTGCGACGCCACGCATTTTTTCGACTTTAAACTCAATTTTCAATGTGTTCTTGATATATGACGTAATTTTAACTAATACCATTGAATTGCTCGTCTCAAAAACTATAAGAAACGATGTCAATTTTACTTTCCGCGAGCAAGATAAAAATCGGCCTTTTCGTAACATCCTTCTTTTCGTAATGCCAGTAAGGATAATTATTTCTTCTTTGAAAATTAAGATTATATTAAATCGTTTTTATATCAATAAGTTATACAGGATGTCTGCTATTCAACGGTAAAGCGCTCGTGGGCAGGTAGAGTGAACCAAACTGAACAAAAAAATCCTCTACCATTTTGCGATCTTTGCAATAGTTTTCGAGATATATTAATACAATATATAAAGCTCGTCGAATCTGAACGTGCGATGAGATACGAGCTTTATATATTAATATCTCGAAAACTATTGCGAAGATCGCAAAAAGGTAGAGGATTTTTTTGTTCAGTTTGGTTCACTCTACCTGCCCACAAGCGCTTTATCATTGAGTAGCGGACACTGAGTATATTCTTATAAACTCTTTTTTATTTTTAAATCAATTAGATATTTAATTTTTAATCAATTAGATATTATCTGATAATTATAATTGATCGAATTTATGCGATCTTCTACAGGAAGGCAAGAAACGCGAATATAGTTTGGGAAAATTTTTGCGCTTTAGATATAATGACTTTCTTGGCAGTTTGTACACGCCAAAACGTGTCGTCTGTCATAGCTCGGATGTTGACAGAGCTAAAATGTCTTCACAACTTGTTCTTGCTGGTTTGTTCCCACCAAAAAATATACAACGTTGGAATCCTTTTTTAAATTGGCAACCAATCCCGATATCGTACTTACCAGCCAACAACGATAATATTATTTTAACCATCAATTGTCCCCAGTAAGTATAACGAAAAGCAGATAAAACAGGCACTGAAAATCAAACTTCAAAAATGTTTCTGTTTTACCGACGATTTGTGAGTATGTATGCATGCGATATTGATGTAATAGTGTGTAGGGAGTTCATGTTTACTACCTTATCGATATCGCACGCATACACTGTAACAAATTAAATGACAAATTTTCAAGCTTGTACATCTTTTTTATTAAGTATCCAAGCCTAATTTTATGAACTCGACATTGGGTGCTTTCCAATTGTAAAATCACTAGACACTTTTGTGCACACAGCGACACAAATTGTGTTTCAATTGCCGTAATCATCGACACAACCCAACACATTCATACTTAGCTCGAGGCTACTAGTCGGCTGTGTAAGCTTGT